GGGGGGGGGGATGATTACCTAATAACAAGCAAATCCAGGACCTCCCATCATTTTAGTACCCCCATCCTGGGATGGAATCCCCTTGAGAAAGAAAGGCAGGCCATGCTCGTGTAGACAAGTCTCTATCCCCTGCTTTCATTTACCTCCCTCACTCTTGCCCCACAAAGCGTAATAACTTGTAACACACACACACAGCTAGGCTACATATTCTATTAGACAAACAATTTCACAGAGTACCAACCTCAAACAAATTTATTATCAGATCACAATGAAACAAGACAAAGCAAGGCCAGTTTTTCTTTGTGCCTAAGCACAATAAAAACAAGATCACCATGCAAAACACAAAAAAAAAAACAACCTCTCTCCCTCCTCTCTTGCCAAGTAATTCTGATCATTACCCGATCACAGAAATGCCCCTGCTTTCTGACAAAATCGAGTCTAGCAAAAGCCTTGCTGTCTTAGATTCTCTAAAGCCACATCACTAAGACCTAAATTCTATCATTGGCCCTTTAAGACACCCTACACTTCTCTATGATGTATATTTTCCTTTGCTGCAAAGAATAATGCATCCAAATCATTCAAAGGGAGGTTCCTGGTGGTCTTGGGGGGCATTGACCTCTGTGTGAAGAATACTTAGCATTCAGGAAGTTGTATTTGCCCTGATTCTGTGTCCTGGGAGTGTATAGAATAGTCAACACAATGGGTGAAACCCCCTTCTGTCACAAAACTTTGGTTCTCACAGGGAAAAAAGATGAGTAAATAAAATAATTACTCATGGAAGTTACACTGGAAGGTGGTAACTGCAAAGAGAAAAAAAAAAAAAGTGATTCATTTTAGATGGGAAGGACTTACTGATCCAAAAGCAAAAAGGAGGAAATGTGGAGGATGTTTCTGGGAATGCATGGGGGAGAGACTAGTGCAAATGTCCTGAGGTAAGAGCCTGCCCGCATGTTTGAGGAACATCTAAAATGCTTGGGAGTAAGTAAAGGTGAAAGGGTTTGTCAGTCCTTGTTGGGATCCTAACTTTCACTCTGTGTGATAAGGGAAATAATTATAGAGTTTGGAGGAAAAATGGTGTGGTCTGACTAGAGCCTCCTTCACTGAATTGCTCTGGTGCTGTATTGAGTCAAGAAAGAAAAGGAAAGAGCACCAGAAAGAAGTAAGCACCTGTAGGAAGTTCCTTGCAATAATCCAGAAAAAAGATAAAAATGATATCAGCCAGTTATTTAGAAGAACTTCCTAGAATGTTTAATAGTTACACTAAAGTACAGGAATGCTTATAGTAAATAAATAAAATTTATTAAATAAATAAGTAAATTAGTAAATAAATTAATCTTGCTAGTATTGTTTTAATTTTGGTGGTGACTCTAAACTTCTGTTCTCATACATCCAGCACAGTTTTTACTTTCATGTAAATGGTAATACGTACTTATATTTAAGATTGGAGGGGAAATATGCTAGGAATGCTTTTATAAACATAGTCTCTCTTAAGAGGCCCTCCCTGGTGGCACAAGGGGTTGAAGCATAGCACTATGAAATTATCTGCAGCCACTGCAGCATGGGTTTGATCCCCAACCAGGGAGGTGACCCACATGGCACGGCAGACCCCTCCTGTCTCCCCCACTGCTCCCCTCAGCACTGTACTTCCTCCATCTGCTTGTTCTGCTTCCCATCTGTCTCTAGTGCATCCTCTCACCATGTCTCCCCCCTGGCACTTTCAGCCTGTACCCCAGTTCTTGTATG